AGTTTCATCCATGTTATGAGATGCTTCACAGATTCATTGTTCTTTCTCGTTGCATAGTACTCCATTGTGTGTATGTACTGTAGTTTTTTTATCCATTCATCTGTTGATGCCCATCTAGGTTGCTTCCATTGTTTTGCTATTGTGAACAATGCTGCCATGAACATAGTTGTGCATATGTCTATTCGAATATGACTTTCTTAATAGTTGCCAGGGTAAAGAAGAAACTTATAACTTAGTATCTTAGAGGTAAAAAACAGCTGTTTGAGAGAAGCTAATGAACTCTTTATACTCTTAAAGTGTTCTGTGATTCATAACCTCTTGTTTTTATAAGTAGAAATTTACACAGTGTGGTTTTTATCTTCGTGTATGTAGTAGTCAGTGGATGGGGTAGGTACGCCTGCCAGTATAGAAGAGTGGCCAAGAGCGCTAGCTCTGAAGCCAGCCTGCCTGGATTGGAATCCTGTCTCTAACAATTACCAACTTGGCCAATCTATTTAACTGCTCTGTGCCTCGGTTTTCCCGTTGGTAAAATGAATTATGGTAGTATTTAAGTCATAGGGTTGTTGTAAAAATTGAGTTAAAATGTATAAAGCACCCAGACCAGTGTCTGATACATTGTATGCTGTCACTAATTTTCAGTTACTGTTATAAGTCCCCACAGTAAGCGGGAACATAATACTGCTCCCGTGGTTATGGAATTCACAGTGGAGCAACTAGAATTCTAAGCCAGGTAGTCTGTCTACAGAGCCCGTACTCTTAAGTACCATGAACATCCTGCTCCTAAAGGTTAGAACCTTTAACGTATGGGCTAGTTATATATTTTAAAGATAATTAATTTAAATTTCTTTAGACACACCATATGCAGTATACCTAGAAGCATAACAAAGAATAAAAATCACATGAAGTTCTCAGGATTGGATGGTGGGGCTTAGAGCACTTCGATAATATTGTTAAACGTGTCTTTTTTGCTTGTTTCCAAATTAGGCAACTGCTTTTCCCACCGAAGTCAAAGATTTGACCAAGAGAATCCGTACTGTTCTTATGGCCACTGCCCAAATGAAGGAACATGAGAAAGACCCAGAAATGCTAATTGATCTCCAGTATAGCTTAGCCAAGTCCTATGCAAGCACCCCAGAGCTCAGGAAAACCTGGCTTGACAGCATGGCCAAGATTCATATAAAAAATGGAGATTTTTCAGAGGTAACTACTTCAGGTTTTGTTCTAAATACAACCCTTCCATACCCCTTGAGCGCATTCTGATAGTTGTTTTTTTTTCTTCCTTATTTAGGCTGCAATGTGTTACGTTCATGTAGCAGCTCTGGTTGCAGAGTTTCTTCATCGAAAAAGTAAGATATATCTGTTCTTTGAGATGGGGATAATTTCAGCACAGTAGTTTTTACCTTAGTATTTTACAACTATTAATATGATATAATTGAGCTCTGAAAAATATGCCCACCTTCAGAGCTCATTCGATGTTAAGCAGAAATAGTTATGAAAGAAGACTAGATTGTTCATTTGCTTTCTGCTTTCATTAGGGCTTACGAGATTAAGTTATATAGTGCAGGGCAGGCCCGATGTCCAGTGTTTATTTTCCAAGGCTGTCTCCCTGGAAGACTACCACAAATTTCTTTTCAGGGCTCATGAGAAGCTCAGGATAAATACCAACCACTTATTTTCCCCCTTCTGCCTCAGTTTTACCAGCAACTGCCCACAGACCATGTCTCTACAGCCACTTTAGTAGAACAGTACCTGGGTGTTAAAAGGGAGTCATGCTTTCATACGGCATCAGGATCTAGCAGCTCTAATTCAGAATTTTGCTCGAAAGCTTTCCCTTTCCAAAAATAGTATTGTTGACAACTATAACTAACTATTCAGATAGTAAAACAGTTGAGTTAGGTTTTAAAAATTGCTTGGCAGTAGAGATTGCAATCAAGAAATCTCCCATTTTCTATTACAATATCCAAACTGCTTCTTTTAAGGCAGACCAACGAGTAGCATTAGAGCAAAATGAAACCAACTTGTGAGACTCAGTCACTCTGGCTTTGGATGTGGAAATACAACAATGTTTTGGTTTGTTTTGTTTTTTTAATTCCAGAATTCCTAAAGTTAATCATTTATCTTTTTATTTACCGAAGGCTCTGCAGTGGTTAAGCATTTGGCTGCGAACCAAAAGGTCAGCAGCTCAAGTCCACCAGCCGCTCCTTGGAAACCCTATGGAGCGGTTCTACTCTGTCCTCTCGGGTCACTATGAGTCGGAATCAACTCAATATTAATGGGTTTGAGTTTTGGGGTTTTTGTACCTAAGGCTCAGTGTTTGTTTGGTTCATATACTACTACCTGTATACAGAATCTTTTTCCAAAAAGATTCTTCCCAAATACAATATCATGATTTAAATGTAGATTCATTTTACTTATATTTTAAAATAACGTTTTATGTTTGATTCTGAAATTCTTTTGACCAGTCCATGTGTTTTAAATCGATATATTTACTCTAGGTTTTTTTCCCCCCATTTGTACATATGCAGATTTAAAATGAAGAAAGAGATTAATTTTTAAAATAAGGCCACGTTTCAGGTTTTCTGATTTTTTTTTTAGGTTTTTTTTACATCACTGACATACTTGTGCGATTATAGTATAAATAAATACTGAAATTGCACAACTGTAATCCAAATAAATGGACAAATATGAGACCCATCAGCACAGTTCTAAATATAATTTTAGCAGCCCTGGTGTTGTTTTGGTTAAGAGCTCGACTGCTAACCAAAAGATCGGCAGCTCAAATCCACCAGCCATTCCTTGGAAACCCTATGGGGGCTGTTCTCCTCTGTCATATAGGGTCGCTATGTGTCAGGATCAACTTGAGGGCAACAGGTTTGTTTTTGTTTTTGTTTTGTTTTGTTTTTAAGCACGGTACTAAATATAATTTTAGGTATGTCTTTCAGAGAAATTAGGCTAATACTATCTCATCTTTCTAATTAGTACAAGTATGAAATAAGAGTTTTATGTCCACTAACTATAAAACTGTACCCTTTAGATTTTTCAAACTATCGTCAAATATATTAAAAATATTTTCCTAGAATTTTTAGTTTTCCTCACAAGTGCAAAGACCTTAAAACTGAGCAGAAATCAAGAATTACTTATATCATTTATGAATCCTTAAGTCTTAGAAATATAGTATTGGACAAAATAACAATTAAGAGTATAAATCTTGCTGTCATTTTTATGGCATTGGCATGAGGCATCTAGCCTAAACTTCAAACACTGTGACATGTTTCAACAAGTGGAAATAGTGCCTTTACCTAGTCATATAAATCTTTATTTTATAATACCGTCAAGGTTTTTTAGACATTATCCTTCATAGAAATCAAAGAGCCCTTCTCTGAGGAGGAAAAGATGATTGTTTTTGCATTTTAAATCAGAAGAATAGTAAATGTAGGAGCAGTTTGCATATTCACTTATAGGTGCCATCTATTTTTGAACCTGGAAAATTTTACTTGCCTGAGCTAGATAACCTTATTCTAAGATGGTGGCAGTAGTAAAATCCTCAGCAGGAAAAAAACACCTTCCGTTTCAGTGATCCAAAACACCCTCTTTTTTTAATTAGCTGATTAAACCATGAGAGTTATACCAAGGTAGAGTACTAATTTTAAAACTATATACAAGTTAAAAGCTTAATCTATTAACCTGCCATCCAGTGCTGAGAACTCCACAATTTACCATAGTTGTGTCTAGGTAAGACCTGCATGTTACAGAGTAAATAAAAATGTATTTGAGGGTAGAACTAGGTTAAAAAAAGTTTTATTTACAGTTAACACCAACTTACTTAACACAGTTCATTGGGCAACTCCAGAACCCATTTTTTTCCTATCATTAAGTGTCCTTTGATAATGAAGACAAAGGGGAAGGAGAATTAATTTAAAGTATATTTTAAAACCGTGGCATATCAATTGCCCAAAGTTTTGTTTTCTCAAATTCCTAAGCTATTTCTCTTGAAGTCTATTATCAAATGTGTCTTTAATGGAATAAAGTACTACTTATCAGCTAACATACTGAAGACAGATATTCTTCTGTTTAAGAGTTTTTAAGAAGAAAACTAGTTTGTCTCCTTGGATAGTTACTTAGTTGGGCAAGGGCTTAGGCCCCTGCCTCCCAGTGGTACCTACACAACACCAGTGAGGGACTATTTCTAGATCATTTTCTTCATTCTTTCAGGCACTGAGCTGAGAGGTAGAGTGATACAGCTCTCCTGGTTCTTAGCCCCATCCCCACCGTCAAGCTTTTTTCAGGCAGCCTGAGCTCTGTTTCTTTCTATCAGAGAGACTTTAAGGACTACCGTTCTCTTCCCTTTCTTTACCGAAATCACCTCTTAATGGTAATACTGGGTGTTAGTTATTCTTCCCACTCCTGAAAATATAACATAAAAAACAGATCTGAATTTCCTTGTTTTTGTTTTGTCTGAGAACCTTAACATTCCTAGGCCCCACACTCTGGAGGCTAGACTCTGTGTACTTATCTCTCTTTTCCTGAGAAAGGGCACAACTGCTTCCCCCAGGGAATGTAAGAGTCAATCGTCTGCATTCTTCCCCCACTGCATACCATCTGAGGTCCAGCAAAGCTTCAGGCCAGAAAATGGAATTTTCTTTTCCATAGAGCCTATTCTGTTTGTTCCTATAGGGTAAGATTGCTCGGTTTCCCAAGTCTTTGTACCCAGGATCTGATAGCTTAAATTCCGCAAGGCTTTTTTTTTTTCCCCCTAATCCTTCCTAATCTCAGCCTTTTCTCTTCTTACCTTCCCCTCAGGATTCTTACCTCTTTATTCTTCTTTTGACTAGCAGTCTTATTTTCTCAAGGATTAGACTGCTTCCCCCCATCCTCTACTGTTTTGATGGAATAACTTGTGCTGTTTACTTGGACAGTTTGATTACCAACTCCTCTCCTTAGCACCTTTCTCTCCCCAAAACTGAAGTCTGGAATGTGGAAGCTATAGCTATGAAGGACAAGGTTGGAAATCCAGGTCAAATACCAGAGAGACTGATAGCCGTCTCCCTAGGACCACCTCATACAAGGCTACATAGGGCTACATGAGATCTCTCAAACAGATGCCTCTCTTTGTTGGAATATATACACTGGCCAATTCTAGACTAAGCAACTTGTTTTTCATCTGACAATCTTTCCAGGACTAAGGGGAGTCAGAATTTGCCTCAAGCATTTTAAAGACCCTAACAAACAAAGGCTGTTGATAACTTAAGCAAACAAGGGAATTTAATCTTCCTCTAGGTAGATCCCATCAAAATACATCATCAGGCATGTGAATCAAGATCACAGAATAGTAGACTCTGAGGCTAAAATTCCACAATAGTAGTCTTTACACTAGATGATGTTGACAACAAATTCCAAAAGTAAGTGTTGACCTGTTTGTCTCTGAGATAAAAAATAATTTACTCTATTTATACCTAAGATGAAGCCTTGGTGGCATAGTGGTGAAAGAGCTCAGCTGCTAACCAGAAGGTCAGCAGTTCAAATCCACTAGCCGCTCCTTGGAAACCCTGTGTATAACAGCAGTTCTACTCTGTACTACAAGGTCGCTATGAGTCGGCATCGACTCAAAGGCAACGGGTTAAACGGGTTACACCTAAGATACACATCAGAAGACTCTCCCCTAAAATGGTTTTAGCCTCATCTGATCTCAGGCATTAGATTGTACCTTTCTTTGTCTGCTCCTAAATCATAAGATTATAGAAAAATCCTAGATTTGGGAATAACTTAAACTAATAATCTTCTCTAAACAGACAGGAATTTTTTTCCCCATTCATGGACCTAGCTGTCTGAGGCCATTAGTAATTGACCCTTTGATCAGGACTACATTTCTTTATCTCTTCACTCGAGTCTTGGGGCCTTCTTTCTTGCTGCCGGGCTCTTGACTTCATAGAGGTGACCAAGTGGGACGTTTTCTCGTAAATTCCAACACACTGCTCCTAATTTCTCCTAATGCACTGCTACTCAAAGGGTGTCCTGTGGACCATCTGCCGATCTGAGAGCTGTTTGTTACTGATTCACAACAAGATGAGGGGCATTCTCCTGAATGTAAATAAACTATGTGACTAAGCACACTGTCTCGTTCAGCCAACTTCTTTTCATAGCAAGGCTTTGGTGAAGAAGGAAATGATGAGTTGACTTACATTCTGATACAAGTTCTTTATCTTGTTGTGGTACCGATTTTGTAATAAAATTATCCTAGCGGTCTATAACAAATCATTAGGCATGCTTATCTTCAAATACGAAGTATGTCATGCTAGAGCTTCAGTGCCTTTTATTACCTATTTTCTTTGAACAAAAAGTGCCCTAACATCTGGTGGGTCAAAGTAAATCTCACTTTCATTTTTGCCTCTCCTTCTTCCTTGTTGGAAACCCACTGGCTGCTCCCCATGGATTTCTCCCTTCTTGAAAAAGTACTTCAAAATAACCCCATTTTCTCCCACTGAGCTTCCAACTCTCTCTCATAAGAAGTGTGTCCAACTCTCTCTCATAAGAAGTGTGGTGACTCATGTTCTGTCAGTCATCTTACCTGTGAGATGTATTTCTAGTTAGCTTTCATTTTGACAAGGAGAGTTGGCAAAATCTAAGCCCTGATAACATGACATTTTCTCCACCGAACTTCTCAAAAATCTCAACATGAGGTCTGGTTTTCTTAAATCTTCTTCCCTCCCCAACCCTCTAACCCCACAAAGATTGCTAAATACTTAGGTCATTATTTCTAAGTGTCACTATTAGAGAGGTTGTAGAGCAATAGATTATAACAGCTATTTGTTCCCTTTGTGAGCAGCTATTACCAGAAATAAACGTTTTCATTGGCTAACAGATTTCTGTTATGAGGAGGGTGAATTTTCCTTGAACTCTAAAATTATAGCACGTTTAGATATGGGTGCAGGTAACTGCAGCAGGAGTGCTTGGACTTGTTCGCCTGTCCAAAATCAGTAGGGCCTTCCACACCTAGACTCATGCTTGAAAGTAACAATTTCGTCCACAATCCTACAGCAGCTGTTCTCAGCTTGAGCTCACTTCCTACTTCCCAGGGGGTCCAGCTGCAGAGTCACTTACTATACCAACTGGCAGCAATTATTTTATTCTGTCTTGGGAAAACTAGTTTATTTATTGGTAGACTTTTTTGGTAATAATAATTTATTGAGTAATTCTTATATGCTAAGCTCTGTTCTAAACGCTTTATTTAATTCTCACAAGGTAGCTAATATTACCCGTGTTTTACACATTGATGAAATTTTCATAATTTCAAAGAGATAAACATTTCCAAAAACACCATTAGTGACAGAGCTGGATCTATCTAACTCCTTTGCCCTATCCTGTTTCTCTAAGGATGCTTTCTCCCTGCCATCGGTTTTATTTCCTGCCTCTTTGGCAAGTCCTAGACTAGTTCTCCTCCAACAATACATTTCCATTTCCAGTTCTCCAGTGAAATTAAGAACTGAAGATGGTTACAAAAGATCATTCATTGGTTACCTGAAGAGTTGTTTGGTGATAGGTCACAAACATACACCTGGTCAAAGTGTTACTAAAATTTCTTAAATCATACTAGGGAAACATTTGCTATACTACTAGCCATTGAAATCGATGCATTGTCAGAGAATGAAACTTGCTCATAAGTAACCTGAGCTCCCTTTTCAGGAAAAAGACTGGTAGAATGTGTAGTAACTAGAAATAATTTGTAAAAAAAAAAAATTTGGCAACTGGAAATTGCACCTATGATTTTTATCCTTACAAAATAACACTTTTTATTTTTAAGGGTGACCTATCCTGTAAGACTATCCGTTATTTAAAAAATACTTTTTAATAAATTTACTCCACTGCTTTTTATTCACACAGAATTATTCCCTAATGGATGTTCAGCCTTCAAGAAAATTACTCCCAATATAGATGAAGAAGGGGCAATGAAGGAAGATGCTGGAATGATGGATGTCCATTATAGTGAAGTAAGATTCCAGGAATTGCATTAGCAGTTATACAATTTAACTTCTTAAAATGTATTTATATTAAACAATGCTTTACAACTAACTTAATTGTGAAGGTAACTGAAGGTTTAATGAACTTTAAGCATTAAAATTGCCCAGGACAAAGATGTCCTATATAGAATATAAACCCTGTCTCTGGAACTATTCCCATTGTCTGGTTTAGAAACAGCATTTACCATCTTCAAATCACCATCCCAGTAACCAGATATGGGTCAATTTACTTTGGGGGGAAAAATTTTCCATAAAAATATAGTTAACATTGTCCTTTACTTCAACTAAGCAGAGCATTGTGAAAGTATTTTTAAAAAATTGAAAATCTCTGCTTTAAACTTCATATTGATAGAAAACAGCTTCAGCTGTCAAGCAACAAAAATTTATTGAGCAGTGACTTAGGATCAAGGCGCTCTGTACTTGGTGATTTAACAACAACAAAACCACAGTTGCCATCGAGCTGATACCTACTCATGGCAACGCCACGTGTGTCAGAATAGAATCATGCTCCATAGAGTTTTCAGTGGCTAATTTTTTGGAATTAGATCACCAGGCCTTTCTTCCAAGGCACCTCTGGGGAGACTTGAATCTCCAACCTTTTGACTAGTAGCTGAGCATGTTAACCATTTGCACATGGTCCATGACTTCAAAGATCTACCTGAAGGGATAATACACCTACATGAAATAGAATAAAAGCAAGACGGTGTCATATGAATGATACAGACAATATGTGCCATGCATAGTCAAAGGTGAGAGAGATGCCTTTTAGCTGAGATATGACAGAGGAGTAATAACTAGAGATGGGTTTGAAGAATGAGAACATGAGAACACCGTGAAGGCATTCTAGCAGAGGAGGAGAATAGCGTGGACAAAGAATAAGAGGTGGGAAAGTAGAAGGCATGTTTGTGGTGCAGTGAGTGGATCCTTTCGTCTAGATCAGTGGTTTCACAAAGTGAAGAGTAGTACTTGAGGCCAGATTTTGAGAAACTTGATCCAGGCTTTATTCAGTAGAATGTTGAATTGCTCTCAAAGCTTTTTGAGCAGGATAATGACAAGATGAAAGTGAGAAAGCTCATTTGGTGGGCAACGTGGGAGATGTATTGGAGGTAGATGGATAGGAGCTGGAAGCACCAGGATAGTGACAGATTCAGGAAACTCTGTGAAGAAAGGAGGAGGACTTGCCGGCTGTGAGAGGGGAAAAGTCAAATGGTGTCTCTGAGATTGCAGTTTTAGGTTTATGGAAAAATGATGCATGGATGGTTTGCAGGGAAGATGATGAATTCTTTTTTAGGTATGTGTTGAATTTTATGTGAAAGGTTATTGAAAGGGAAATAACCATCATGCCATTAGAAAGGCAAAACTGATTCTAAGGCGAGAGATCAGGGTTGGAGATACACATCTGGAAATCATATCCATGTGAGAACCAAAGGAGGGTAAGTCTAGGAAATATCCAGGAGAATATAGCAAGATCAGAGAAACAAGGACTGAACCATGGAAAAGTTCACCAAGAGTAGGAAGCAGAAAAAAAAGAAGAAACAAAAAAGCAGAGTGATTTGAAGGGGTTGTAGTCCTATAGAAATCATTTTCTTTTTTAAGTTACATTAAGAAACATAGCAAGCAATCAGATTAAAGTTATAGTGACATCCTTAATAAATATTTTATGAATGTATATTTAAAATACAAGCAAATCTCAAGTTAACTCTGGTTCATTTAGCTAGACGGATAAACCTAGGAGCTTTACCTATTATTTCTATATGGATCTCTCTCTCCATCACTAAAATAAGGACAACAATGCTATTCTGGTGACTTCACAGTTATGTGAAAGCTCTTTATAAGTCATTAAGTGCTACATAAATGTTAGGCTTTGTCATTGGCAATGAGGTTTCTTAAAGGCAAGTTGGCATCTGTTTACCCCCAGGACCTAGGCGAGTAGATGTTTAATACGTGTTTGCTGAAGTAATTAATCATAACATGTCATTGGCAATGAGGTTTCTTAAAGGCAAGTTGGCATCTGTTGACCCCCAGGACCTAGGCGAGTAGATGTTTAATACATGTTTGCTGAAGTAATTAATCATATCAGAGAATCATGATGCTTGAATTTTAAACCCAGCTCAATTTTTTTACCATGAAGCCTTGGGTAAGTTAATTTACTTTTCTGGGTCTTCGTTAGCCTTCGATGATTTCCCAAAGACTGCCAGTTTTCACTGGCTAACGACAGGAAGTTTTAGAGAATTTCTGAGAATTAAGTGTTTCAGCACAACTGAAATTACATCCTTGTCTTCCAAATAGCAGCTTCAACTCATTCATAAAAATGACCTGGAGCCTGGCCCTTTTTCATACTCTAAAGAAATAGGAAATGGCATTTAGTAAAAAAAACTGTGTAGAAATTATCCCAACAAGTATGATTATATAGAAAACTGATTACAGTTATTGACTAAAAAGAAACATTACTGTTTCAGTTTATATAATAATGCTACATCCTCATGCTCTAGCCAACGGAAAAAACTGACACTAGTTTACAAGTTATACTTCAATGAAAAATACAAACTGTTGTCCATTTATTGCCTGTATTTAAATATGTGAGTTAAAACATAATGATGAAATTTATTTTGTTTTTTAAAAATGTATTTCTGACTTTTGATTTGGTTAAGAGCTCTTCCTGCTAACCAAAAGGTCGGCAGTTTGAATCCACCAGCTGCTCCTTGGAAACCCTATGGGGCACTTCTACTCTGTCTGATAGGGTCTATGAGTCAAAATTGACTCGATGGCAACGGGTTTGGTTTTTGTTTGTTTTTCTTTTATAAGATACAATTAACATGCAGTAAAATGCACACATCTTAAGTGAACAGTTCAATGAGTTTTGACAAGTGTATACACCCTTGTAACCTACAACTTGAAAAGTTATAGAAGTTATCATGGAACTTGGCAAATCATCCAGAAAGTTCCCTTGTGCCCATTTCCAGTCAGTCTCCCCACCACTATTTGATTTCTATCACTATAGATTAGTTTTGCCTTTATTTTGAGGTCATAAAAATGGAATAATTTGTACATATCCTTTTTTATCTGGCTTCTTTTGCTCAACCTAATGTTTTTGAGATTCATCCATGCAGTTGAGTATATAAAATATTTCTTTTCTTTCTCATTTCTAAATAGTATTCCATTGTATTGATAGGCAATTTATTTATTCTCCTGTTGATAGATTTTGGATTGTTTCCAGTTTTGGGCTGTTATGAATAAGGCTGCTATAAACATTAGTGTACAAGTTTTTGTGTGGACTTAAGCTTTCATTTCTTTTGGGTAAATACCTAGGAGTGGAATTGCTGGCTCCTAGGGAAAATATATGTTTAAAGTAAGTTGTCAAAGAGTTTTTCAAAGTGATTGGACCATTATACATTCCCACTACCAATGGATGTGAGTTCTACTTGCTCCACATCCTAGCCAATACTTGTTATTGTGTGTCTTTTTTATTGTAACCTTCTTAATCCAAAAAACCCACTGCCGTTGAGTCAGTTCCCAATCAGTGACCCTATAGGACAGAGCAGACCAGCCTCATAGAGTTTCGTATACATAGCAGTCACCTGGGGGTCTTGTTAAAAACATAGACACTGATTGTCAGTATATCTGGGGTGGAAACGCAAATTCTCAGCAGGGAGTTTGGACCAGAAGGAACTGGTTCGAAGCCCTGATACAAAATGCATCTCTTTAAGATAGAAACAAGCTGTTAAACTTAGGGATAACATCAGTAATTGGTTGATCAAATGATGGTTCACAAAATTGTTTGTGTTATAGCAGCTATTATAATTTTGGCAGAGTTGAGCTAACTGTTACCTATCATTCTCACTAAGGACCAACAGTCAGGAAGAAAGCATTCTTTACCAAAGTAACATCATTTTAATAAACACCTACATCACTAACAACAGCTTGAAAATGATGTCAAATTTTCTTAAGTCTCTTACCTGTAAATATAGTATTAATATAAGGGAAAATAATGGACATTTATAGGCTTCCAGTATGTACCGTTAGATATTTTCAGACACGCAGAATTCAAAGCAAACACTGTATTTCTTTTTAAAAATGCTTCTCAATGTGTTACCAGTTGCAGGTACAGTGAACATCTCTATTATGCAAATAAATAAAGTAGACATAGTTTACTATTGTAAACATTCATTTCAGATTTTTAAGAATGGTCTCAACTTCAAATATTTCAAGTATTTGATTAGAAAATATAGTTACGCAAGTATGCCCCTTCTGTACATCTTATTAAATTTAATAATTCTGTTAGCTCTTTAATACTTCAAAATTATTCAAAATTTATTTGTACAAAATTTTAAAACTATAAGTTTTAATTGGATTTTTCTCTTAATGCAGGAGATTTTGCTGGAGTTGTTAGAACAATGTGTGGATGGTTTATGGAAGGCAGAACGTTATGAAGTAATTTCTGAGATTTCCAAGTTGATCATTCCAGTTTATGAGAAACGTCGTGAGTTTGAGGTAGGCAATTTAAACGTTTTGATCATTGGCTTATATATTTTATTTTGGTCTTAGAAAAACTAGTAATATAGTTACATTACTATCTCTCTGCTATGTGTCCTCTTAATAGAAGGTAAATTATGACATTTGTATTTTATTATAGTGTATAGATATTTAAGTTAGCGTATCATTTTGACATGTTTGTTCCAATTTGCAATTCTATTAAATCCCGAGATTAAAATCCTCTCTTACATTTATATAAAATTTCCAAATGAGAAACACCCAAAATATAAATTGACTTTTACATCTAGACCAATGTCTTAGTTTTCTAGTGTTGCTGTAACAGAAATACCACAAGTAGGGGTGGCTTTAAGAAATAGAAATTTATTTCCTCACAGTTTAGGAGGCTAGGAGTCTGAAATTAGGGTGCCAGCTCTTGGGGAAGGCTTTCTTTCTCTGTCTGCTGTGGGTGAAGGTCCTTGTCTCTTCTGAGCTTCTGCTCCTGGGCGGTCTTCATGTGGCTTGGCATCTCTTTTCCCCCATCTCTGCTCTCTGCTTGCTTGTTTAATGTCTTTTATATCTCAAAAGAGATTGATTTTAAGACACATCCTACACTAATCCTATTAATTAACATAAAAAAGAAAACATATTCCCAAATGGGATTATAATCACAGGTTTAGAGGTTAGGATTTATAACGCATATTTTGGGGAGACACAATTCAATTCCATAACATTCCACCCTTTGTTATTGTTATTGTTATGTGCCGTTCAATCACCTCTGGCTCATAGTAATTCCACCCTTTGGCCCCCCCAAAATTCATGTCCTTTCCACAGGCAAAACACGTTCACCTTATCACATCATTCCAAAAGTCTTAAATCAACTCCAAGTCCAAAATCTTGTCTTCTGTATCGTCTGAATCAAATATGGGTGAGATATTATGTGTGGTCCATCCTGGAGCAAAATTCCTCTTCATCTATGATCCTGTGAAATCTAGAGTATTAAGTTATCTGTTTCCAAAGTACAATGGTGGAGCAGGCACAAGGTAGACATTTCCATTACAAATGGAAGAAATTAGAGGGAAAGAAGGGGTAATAGGTATCAAGCAAGTCCAAAACCGAGCAGAACAAACTACATTAGCTCTCAAGGCTTGAAAATAATCCTCTGTTCTCTGAGACCCTCTGGGCAACAGCCCTGCCCTCCAGACTCCGGGTGTTGGTCATACTCTCTGGATTCTGGATGGAGGTCCCTCAGCCCTGGGCTTCAGTTCCACCTTCTAGGCCCTCTGGAATGGCAACTCTGCTCCCTCAGCTTTGGGCGGCCTTATCCCCCTAGTCCATCAAAGTTGCAACCCCACCCTCTTTGCCTAGGCAAGCCTCATTCTTCTGTCCCTTGGGCATGGCAGCCCCACCCCTCAGCTTTGGGCAGTGGCTGTATTCTCTTGGCCAAACTGAATGGCAGCCCCATACTCCAGAACTGAGTTGGTGAAGATCTGACTCTATGAAACCTAGGAGGCCGTGGATCTACCCTTTGAGACCAAGGCAGCTCTGCTTCCATGCTCCTTCCAACAGTTCTGCTGATCTCCAAGCTACTCCAGGATTGATCCTTTTATTTTCATGGAGGACAACAGATGTAGCTCCTTTGGCCTGTTTTCCTGCTGTAGAATTGCAAGAGGCAGACAGTGTTCTTTCCTTTTGTTCTTTCTCTGTCCCCTTCAGTCTAAGCTGATGGGTTTTCTGCTATGGTAGTTGGTTAGATTCATCAGTCACAGGCTTCATCTCTTTAACAAAAGATTGTGTAGCCACATCCTTGGTGAAGATTCTAGGACATGTGTCTTTAGTTTGTTCAATAGATTTTTCCAAATCCTTATGTTTTGTTTTCATTTTACATAGTTCACTTCTAAGACCATCTGTTTCCTCTCACAGTTTACTTAAGTGGCAAGGAGAAACCACACAGCCCCTTTTATGATCTTGCTTAGAAGTCTCCTCAGCCACATATCCAAATTCATCAGTTACACGTTCTACCTTCCACCAAACATTTGAACGTAATTCAGACAAGTTCTTTGCCACTGCATAAAAAGCATCCCCTTCCTGCATTGTCCAATCACATGCTCATCATTTTCCTTTAAAGCCTCACCAGAAGCACATTTAATATCCACATTTCTAGCAACATTCTCTTGCTGGCTCCATATGTATTCTATGAGATGACTGAGACTTTCTCTATAGCTCTCCTCACTTCCTTCAGAGCCGTCACCAGAATTGCCTTTGACATCCACAGTTCTACCAACAGTCTTTTCAAGGCAATCTAGGCTTTTACTTTGAAGCACATCAAAATTTTCCAGCCTCTACCCATTACCCAATTCCTAAACCACTTCCACATTTTAGGTATCTGTTAGAGCAACACCCAGTTCTTCCGGTACCTACCAAATTCTGTCTTTGTTATCTAGTGCTGTTATAACAGAATATCACAGGTGGGTGGCTTTAACAAACAGAAATTTATTTTCTTACAGTTTAGGAGGCTAGGAGTCTGAAATCAGTGTGCCGGCTCTAGGAGAAGGCTTTCTCTGTTGTCAACTCTGGAGGAAGATCCTTGTTTCTTCTGAGCTGCTCCAGGACGATCTTCATGTGGCTTGGCATCTCTCTTCCCTCTTCTCTGCTTCTCACTTACTTGTTTAATCCCTTTTATATCTCAAAAGGGATTGACTCAAGACACACTCTTCACTAATCCTGCCTCATTAACATAACAAAGACAACCCATGCCCAAATGGGATTATAACCACAGGCATAGAGGTTAGGATTTAGAACACATATTTTTGGGGAACACAATTCAATCCACAACAGCCAGTGGTTCTCAAAACATTTTCAACCAGCAACTTCTCTTCTCCCAAAAGCGTAAAAACATAAGCATTGTCTTTGCTAAACTTTAACTAAAAAAAAAGCTGTCAAATTACCATGTTGCCCAGGAAAAAGGCATAGACGGGATTCTATTCACAATTCCTCGGGGAGATTAAAGATGCTGGCAGATGACAATGGGTAGGTAACAAGATGCTAGTAATAGCCCTAATGTGAAAAGTTTTCTCAGTGTCGGCCTGCCAGATAAAACTTGATAGATAGTAGTAAGTAAAGGTAGTGGTATTCTGAACAGTTGTTGCCCCCAGCATTGAACAGAAATTTTATATACTCAACGTCTCTGGTTCATTATCATAATTTTTACCCGTTCTGTGTTTGGAAAGGATGATTTAGGATTCAGGGCACTAAAAAAAAGCATAACAATTTATCCTTAAATATAAAGCAGTCTTTCATTGTTGAAGAAGTGTCCAAGAGTGAAAACACATACACTTAATACTACCTGAGTAGTGTTCTAATCTCTGCTATAAGCTGGCTTGGCTCAAACTCACTTTTCCTTCCCAGGTCAGGGTCCTCTCTTTGTCATCCTTTTAGGGCATGCCTGAAAAATCATAGTGGAGTTCAGGTGATTATGTTAAAGTAAGAGTTAAATAATTAAGTCTAGGTCGTATGGTTATCTTGTCTCATAGGTCATTCTTTGCCAAGAATTGCCGTTCTTTTATCCAAGGATTACATCCTAAGAACCTTTGTAAAAGTTTCAAACTAATAGCCCCCATTTTCTGACTCTTATGTTTAAGACCAGGCTATTAGAACCTCAGGGAGTGTTTTACTACTCAACCAACCAATGATAGGGAAGAAGGAAAACTATATCTTCTCTGCACGTTAAAGGAAATTATATTTTTTATAAGGAAACTAGTCCTATTTCCTTGTAAAAATATGAGAGTGTATGTAGATTGCCCAGCATTCTGCTTAAAGTGAAGTAATTGTTTCTAAGACACCAATGTATAATTTTTCTGTGTATCTTTATGGGATGGGCTGAAAAGTGTCAGAGACAGCAGCCATAAAAGTAAGGAATTTTCCCCTAGAATTGAGCTCAACTGCAGGAGGTAATACGGAAGGGATTTTAGAGAACAAACTTGCTTCTGTAGTCCCTTTTTCTGGGTGTGCAGAAGAATATATGCTTTGTAAATGTCTGTGAACTTGTATAAAAGCAGTCCTCATCGAGGCTTATATAATTTTGTAGCTGTGTTTTATTTTCATCTACAAAAGTCTTTGCACAGATTGTCTGTTCTCATGTCTTGCCACCTAAAGGCTCAAGCAAAGCATTTTGTTTTCCTTTCAGTTAAAATAAATCAGACATATAGGAAATAGTAGTTGATAATAGCTGAATATTTTTAAAGTATAAATTACCACAGAGACATGAATCAAATGAAGCATGATATTTAGGAGTACAGCATTATTTGGCCATTTTAAGCTGTACTCTTGGACCTAAAGTTGTTGAGGACTTGCATCTAATGGTGACAGATTGGGGAAGGTGATAGGGAGTGGCCCCACCAAAACCATTTCATAAAGGAAATATTAGTGGTGTTTTTTCTTGTGCATACATCTTGAAGGCATTTAGTAATCCTCCAAAAGACAAAGCTAATTTTGTGTGTTCTCATTTTTCAGAAACTTACTCAAATTTATAGAACTCTTCACGGAGCTTACACAAAAATTCTGGAGGTTATGCACACCAAAAAAAGACTGTTAGGTACTTTCTTCAGAGTTGCCTTTTATGGCCAAGTAAGTATGCTCTAGTTCATAAAGTTGTTTTTCATTTTAAGCATTCACATCTGAATTATTAGATTAGTATTACAGCAGTTATTGGATCTAGGTTTCTGTCGAGGTAGATTGCCTATCACGAGAGCATGCAGCCTCTTTTGTAAGTGTAAACCTCACTTGGGTTCCCATCGCTAAATCCATTAGAGCAGAGTACAACATATAAGATTTGAATTCTTCCCTCCGTTTCATTTTCTGCTAAGCTTGTTAAAGTATTTAATATCAAGTAGTCAGAGCTTTTAAATAAAAAACAAGTATTAGGGAATGAGAAAAATCTGGTATGGAAATCTGCAGGCCAATAATTATGTCAATGAATTTTGAAATTCTCTATTTGAAGCTAACAGTGTCAATATATGCATATGGATTTTAATAATATTTTCTTCTTTAAAAACAGCATCAAAATATTACCAGTTTTCTAGTAGGTTTCCTTTGAATGCTGTGTTTGCTCATACTATTTAAAAATTATTGTCTGTTTAACTTTATAATAGTCCTTTTTTGAAGAAGAGGATGGAAAGGAGTACATCTACAAAGAGCCGAAGCTTACTGGCCTCTCGGAAATTTCCCAGAGACTTGTTAAACTTTATGGTGAAAAATTTGGTACAGAGAATGTGAAAATAATTCAGGATTCAGACAAGGTAATATATGTCCTGCATTTTGAAGTCATCATTTGTTAGTTCCACACATGGTGCATTGCTCCTGACTTCTTTTTTTAGCTGGTAGTGGAGAAGCATAGGAATAGAGCCTGCCTAGATAGTGAATGGTAGCACAGAGGCTTTGGAGTCAGAGAGACCCGGATTCACTTCTCCATTCTCTACCACTCACTAGCTGTGTGATCATGGGGAAATTACTTAACCTCTCTGTGCCTAATTTTTCTCATTAGTCAAATGGAGATAATAATAGTGCCTACCTCATGAAGTTATATGGATTAAATGAGTTAATATGTGGAAAGTGATCAGTAAAGTTCCTGGTACATAAAAAACATTCAGTAATAGTAATAATGGAAGCTAGCATGCTCAGTACAAGTTAGCTATTATTGTAAATCCTGTTGTGCATCATAATTTTTGTTACATACTTCATGATTAAAATCATCTTGGGACACACATTTTATCCCGAGATATGCTTAGTTCAATGATAGTAACTGTCATTAAATCTGCAATGAACTAGGAGAGATGCCTAGGACCTTGTCAAGGTAGGATGAGAAAGGTTCCAGCAAGAGAAGCCCTTTCCTAGGAAATGAATAGTTCACTATAGATAGAATTTTGAGAAAGCATAGTAGGAATACCTAACCATCCTTAGTTGCCAGGGGTGTGTCCAGGTTTAGAGGTGATTTTTAAGGTAGGAAGGACCTATACAGTTCGGGATTGTAGGCCACAGGCTACTGAGTGACTCTGATGTGCATGGTGCTATGCAGAGCACTCAAAAGCTAGAGTGAAAAGCCCATGGCAATGGTAAAGACATTTCATGGTTTACCATGAAAATAGTCTCTTCACTTTAGAGTCTTACCCATGTCAGTTGGAGACCATGGTGCTTCCCTGTGGTCCCCTTCCTCCATATTAATGTAGGTAGGGTTAAGATAATGCAGTCCAAAATACCCACCCTTACAGTGTCAGACACTGCTGGTGGATGTACGAATTGATAAACTGTTCTGTAGGGCAGTTGGGTATTATATATAAAAATCCTTAAAAACATGCAACTCCTTTAACTAAGCAACTTCTAGGAATTTATCTTCAGGGCAAATAATCAGAAAAATGCACGTAGTCTTAAATACAAGGATGTTCATCGGGGCATTACTTATAATAGCAAAAAGTTGGAAAACAACCTAAGAGTCTGTTAATAAGAATGGTTCAATACATCATGTTTATCTATTCATCCATTAAAAGTCATGTGAATGACTATAATATAGAGCTATAATAACTATATTTTTAAAGAATCAGATTACAAGACAATGTTCAGTATGATCTCAGTGTTGTAAGAAAAACAGATTGGAAGGAAATACATGAATAATGGTCATTCTGGGTGGTAGCATTACAGTTTTTATTTTGTTCATGCATTTCTGTTATCTCCAAATTGGTTTCTGTAACTTCTTTATAATCAGAAGGAAATGTTATTTTTTAAAAAGAGCAATGATCTCCTTCAGGTGTATACTCAGTTGGGGATATACTGATAGTGACAGTGTTCTTAAGTTGGTCTTGAAATAATAGCTTACCTATTCTCTCCTTTCCCTTTCATTGAATTTTTTAAAAAGTCTTTCATATTTCATAGGTAAATGCCAAAGAGCTTGATCCAAAATATGCTCATATCCAAGTCACTTATGTGAAGCCCTACTTTGATGACAAAGAACTCACAGAAAGAAATACCGAGTTTGAAAGAAATCATAATATCACCAGATTTGTTTTTGAGGCTCCTTATACTTTATCAGGCAAAAAGCAAGGCTGTATAGAAGAACAATGCAAACGCCGTACAATCTTAACTAGTAAGTAGGACTGCATGTTAACTTCATGTTTGTCTTGATCCTCTTTCATACATACAAGTAGCAGCTGGCCAGCAGAAAAACGTAACTGAAATCTTAATCATTCATTGTTCTGCTGCTCATTTACTAGTTTGCACAAATACATCCATATGATAAACCATAGTTTTCCCGTATGTAATTTGTGATTGCTCAGCAATGTCTCATAAAGAGAATTTCTCTTTAATTTGGCTGTTTTAACACATAATTTTTTAAGATAGTAAATCAATCTTAACTTTTTAATAGCTTCTAACTCATTTCCCTATGTGAAGAAGAGAATCCCTATAAACTATGAACAGCAGATTCACCTAAAACCAATTGATGTTGCTACCGACGAAATAAAAGATAAAACTGCAGAGCTGCAAAAGCTTTGCTCCCCTGCTGATGTGGACATGATTCAGCTCCAACTGAAATTGCAGGGCTGTGTTTCTGTGCAGGTACGTTGGTCACCAAACATGTATTAAATGTTTCTTAATGTTTCTCTTGCTTACATAAGGGCAAGGAGCAAGCATTAATATCATAATTGTGCATTATTTTCTTATAGAGTGTAAAAATCTGGGCATTACTGATGGGGCACGACAGTCCAGGGACAAGGACTAGAAGGCAGGAGGGGACAGGAAAGCTGGTAATAGGGAACCCAAGGTTGAGAAGGGATAGCGTTGACATGTTTTGGGTTGTTAACCATTGTCATAGGGCAATATGTGTACTAACTGTTTAATGAGAAACTATTTGTTCTGCAAACCTTCATCTAAAGTACAATTTTAAAAAAAGGAAAAAAGTGGGCATTATTTTTTATTAAGTTAATAAAGAAATTATATTTAAATTGATTTCTAGAAATTGTGTTATAGCAAGGGGCTTTAACATAAATTCGTATGACTGTAGCCAAACCTTATATTTATATATCAGAAATCATTAACTTAACTTATTGGAATGTTATCTTTACAGATTATTTGCTTTAGTTAATGATTTTCCAAATAAAATTTAGTAAGAATAAATATGATTCTCAGATATGGATTTTTTATATATATTTTTTAATAATAAATGCAAAAATCATTTTATTACATTCTGCCAACTCTCATTTATTTTTTTCTTTTTATGATTTAGGTCAATGCTGGTCCATTAGCATATGCAAGGACTTTCTTAAATGACAGCCAAGCCAGCAAATATCCACCTAAAAAAGTGAATGAGTTGAAAGACGTGTTTAGGTAAGTGCTTTGTAGTCTTCAGATTTGACCACTATCCTTCTTCTCCATTTTCTTCTTTTAAAAAAAAAAAAATATATTCCCCAAATAATGTTGTTGTTAGCTGCCATCAAGTTGGGCCCCCGACTCATGTCGACCCCTTGCACAACGGTATTGGATCATTGTGATCAATAGGCTTTTCACTGGTTGATTTTCAGAGGTAGATCACCAGGCATTTCTTCCTAGTCCATCTTTGTCTGGAAGCTCTGCTGAAGCCTGTTTAGCATCATAGCAACGTGCATGCCTCCACTGACAGAAGGCAAGAATTCTGCCACTGAACCACCACTGCTGCCTCCCACCCCCATAATACTCCTTTTTAAAAGACATTCTTAGAAGACTGTGTCCTCCTTTACAATATTTTAGTGACTTTCTGTTGGTACTTCAAGTAGTGAGGAAATGTGTGATCTCTTTCATGCTTCAGGACATTAACAATGCCCTAGTGACCCAAGAGAATGAATATACTAACTTACCATATTTTATGCAAATACGTGCACATTGTGTGTTTTTTGCCAACCATTCAACCCCCTTGGGCATAACTTTCCTAGGTATGTTGTACTTGTTATATGTGTGCATTCGTTATTTACATGGGCATGTTATTTGCTAAAAATATGTTACTTTATTGCTTTGGATATTTTAAGCGACACAAACACAGTCCTACATTCATTAAGTGATTTTGTTCATTGACCGATAGACCACTTAGGGTAGAAGTAAAAGTGGGGCTGGAAGCGTTGCATAGGCTTGCTCCTATACCATGTCCTTACTTGGAGTCTACCAGTCTAGGGCATGTAATATCTTACCTTCAGTGAGCATCTCTGTAAACTAAGGCATGTCTAAATTTCTTGCACTAGACATGTTTTCTTTAATATGTAAAAATATTTTACATTCAGAAGGAGAGATTTGGGTAAAATAGACTGAGGAGAAATATGATAACCTGTCCACTCATTTACTCCCAATTCACTTCGTTTACTTTTCCTGTCTGCATGTTATCAGCTGTTGCAGGTTGCATAGTAAACAGTAGTCATTCATTCACTGATATTTATTAATGCTTGGCATGTACAAAAGACTACTAGTTGTTGTGACAGGGATATAAAACAAATGGGCAATGAAGTACTTTGTCTCTTAAGACCTACACTCTAATTGTGGCCATTAAACATAAACACATGAAACGATGGAGAAATACTTTTGTGTTGGATCATCAGTTTCTTCCTGCCCCCACTCTTACTAGCCCAGAGAAGATACTTAACACCTATACCACCCAGCACTGTACTGGGTACATGTTGTTGTTATTTTTAGTTGCCATTGAGTCAATTCTGACTCAGTGGCAACCCCATGTGTACAGATAGAACTGCTCCATAGGGTTTCCAAAGCTGTGACCTTTCAGAAGCAGATTGCCAGGCCTGTCTTCCGCAGCGACTCTGGGTGGGTTCAAACTTCTGGCCTTTTGGCTAGTAGTTGAGGACTTAACCATTTGCAGGGACTCCTAGTGGGTGCATAGTAAGCCCAAAATAGATTATTTTTGAATGAATAACCATTATGTACAGGTGCAAATCAATATAACACAAATTTAGCTTATATAATACCAAGTAAAAAGGCTTCCTAGAGGACATGTGTTTTGAGCTAGCTTTTGAAGGAGGTAAGAAACCAAAGGGCATAGATGAAAAAGAAAGGAGGTGTTTCAGACTTAGGAAGTGGCTTTGGCAAAAGCACAGGGAGAATGTATAGGATTCTAATCATCCTTCTAGGCAAGCCATGGTTAAAGTGACTATCAGATTGATTGTCAGAAACAAAACCTCTGTCTTTGATGTTCATCCACAGGAAATTTATACAAGCCTGCAGCGTTGCACTTGATCTAAATGAGCGGCTAATTAAAGAAGATCAAATTGAGTACCATGAAGGGCTAAAGTCAAATTTCAGAGACATGGTGAAAGAATTGTCTGACATAATCCATGAGCAGGCAAGTATTAGGGTGGTTGAAAATGAGACCATGATCTGGGGTCCCTAAAGCGTTACTCAGCAAGATCTATTGCAGTGAAACCTGTGAGAGCCGGAACTCTATGGGACTGCCTTGTTTTTCGGGGTTTCGCAAGTTTTCAACCTTTGACAGGGTGCAGTCTTACCACTTTTCTGTCGCTCTCTATTAGTGGAAGATATCTGAGTTTTCCTTCTCTGATAGGTTTCCACTTTACACAGGTTCCGGCTTTTGCAGGTTTACTGTAATTTTAAATTCATGACCTAAAAATTGCTCAGTCTGTATTTAAAAAATTGTTCCTATGACCCTTAATCTTTTAAATGATATAATGCAAATTGAATTTGAAGCAATTATCTGAAGCAATTACTGGAGCAATTATCAGTAATAAACTAGCCTATTCTTTGTGCCACAATGTCATTAGAAAGGACTAGCTGAGCAAGTCTGAACTGATCTACTCTGAACATGGATAAGAGTCTCTCAAGAAGGGTCCTAAAGAAGTGAAATGATTAGCTCAAGAACTGTGTCCCAAAATGAGTATCCACCCCTATTCTTGACTGTAAGAAGTTAGATACTGTCATTTAGGTGGGATCCTGAGTGATTTCCAAATATAGGAGACTGTTTTCATATTCATACAGCCTGCAAAACTCTACTTTCATACAACTTCTTAGCATTTTGATCTATGACTAAATGTTAATAACAATTACAGCTAATTTAGCAAAATCTAGCCTGGAAAATACAGAAGCCAAGACCTAAGCCAAATTATGTCATAATTAAGTAGTTAAAACTTTTCTATGTCTCTGACCTTTAGGAAGCTTGAGTACTCCTGCATTATCCTGGTAAACGTCATCCTGTGTTGGGGTCCTGAAATTTGTGTTTACAACCACCCTATATATGAATTGTCAATTATTTTTACATCTTAAACACATTTGTAAAAGTCACAGCATGATGGTCACTCAGTGACTCAACCTCTTAAACTTATTACAAAATCTCCTTCATTTTCTTACTAATCTGAACACACCCAATAAGATAAACATTTGCTTCGGAAACACTTCAAACTCTCAATTTTTAAGAATTTAAAGATTTTTTAAAGAAACAAAGATGACTACAACTCGTTAGAGAACACATTCTTGAAGCTGGTCCCTAAAAGAGCCTGATTTCTCCCTGGGATCTGCAGTTCAATGATTGATTGAAGGCAGTCCCCTGTTTGAGACTCTCACTCTTACGCAAAGGGTGTACTTCAAAACAAGCTGACAGTGGTTAGTATCCAAAGAACTGCAGTGTAATAATGGGGAAAAGAAGAGGAGGGATACTTCTGGAAAAACAAAAGCTAGCTGCCTTTGAATTGAGCTCTGGCTCTCTGAAATTTATTTTACATGCTTTTTCTTAGAGTTAGGGAAAAGTTAGTTACAATTAGCCTACAGTTGCATTGAGTGACGGAGAATCTATAATTATCCAACCTTTGTAATCTTTTCAGTGTGGAGACTCCAGTCTGCTGGACTTTCATCTTTCTATTTATTTAGTGAGACTAATTACCCCAGCCCCCTACTTGCCCATTCTCAGTGGCCCAGAACCTGGGAATCTTGTTAGCTTGAGGAGACTGAAATCAGTGTTCTGTGTCTTCCTTTTGCCATCTTTAATTTACTTCTATTAGCTCACTTAGGAGTGACTGTAGACAATTCTAAGGTACCTCTCTGCTGTTCAGTTTTCATAGGCCCTTTTTCCTCCTTCCCAAAGCAACCAGGTGATCAGGACTGGGAAGGTAGGGAACCATTCCACTTCCTTTATTGTCTGTATCTCAAGCTCAGCTCATGAGTAAAACGGGGATATGCCTCTGCAACATCATTGTCCTGTTTATCAAATAGACTACATAGTTTGTGCCTAGAAACTGTTGAATTCATGGGTTTCTGTTCCTCTCAATGTGTAGAAAAAGAAGACAGCAGAAACTCCTCCTACACCAAAGATAATAAAACAATTGCACATGTCGTTTCAAGCCAGTGTGTACTATAGTTTACAGTTATTTAATTTGCATTCAGCTGCATGACCTAGACTTGAACTTTCATTCAAATTGAAAACAAATTATTCAGTGTGCTGTTACTACTGTGATCAAGGTATTTTATAAAGTTTTTTTTTTTCTGAAGCTCTGTTTTTAATCTGTACTTCCTACCTGTCTATATCACTTAATTCCCATAAACCATGGCTATTTTATTTAGTTGTGGAGACTAATATTGTAGACCCTTGCTACTCTATGTTGAGGGAGCCCTGTTGGCACCTTGGTTAAGTGCTCAGCTGCTAACGAAAAGACTGGCTGTTTGAACCCACCAGCTGTGCCGTGGGGGAAAGATGTGGCAGTCTGCTTCCATAAAGATTACAGCCTTGGAAACCCTGTGGGGCAGTTCTGCTCTGTCCTGTAGGGTCGCTATGTGTTGGAATTGACTCAACAGCAGTGGGTTTGGTTTTTTTTTTTTTTTTTTTTTCTTTGTATTGAAAGCTAACCAAGAGTTCTCTTATTTTCTAATATTTTATATTTATGCAAGCTTTCTGTCATCATGCACCATATTCAAATGTGCCTTCCTTTGGGCAAGTGTTGACTTCATAGTGCGTTTTTGTAAATCAGTTAATATTTTCCATTAGGTTCTCTTATTTAAAAATGTCTTTTCATAGTCACAAGCTTCAAGGAGACACATTATTTCCCAAAGGAAAATATACTAATACCTCAAAAGAAGACAAAGTATAAATGTATACTAAAATATGAAATATTCTGCTGGGCTCCATAAATGATTACTTGACCAAAAGATAAGGCCTGGGTATCCCTTGGCCCTTTTAAATGTAATGTTACAGTATCCTAAAGTAAGTAGTCCTTTTAAAAACTTCTTCAAACTTTTAACTTTTTTTTAAAGGGATTTATATTATTTTAAAGCTATTAGTGGCAAATTTCTTATAGATTGGGTTGATGGTGGCCATTGTTGTATCTGTTCGGTATGTTTTGTAATTTCTTCAGAATGAGCATCCTGTTCCCTTGTCACATCTAATGGGTGTGGATGATCAGTTGTTGTTGTGTGCTGTCAAGTCAATTCTGACTCATAGCAACTCTTTTAGGCCAGCATGGAACTGCCCCATAGGGTTTCCTAGTCTGTAATCTCTGGAGGAGCCCTGGTGGCACAGTGGTTAAGAGCTATGACTGCTAACCAAAAGGTCGGCAGTTCAAATCCACCCTCCACTCCTTGGAAATCCTATGTGGCAGTTCTACTCTGTCATATAGGGTTGCTGTGAGTCGGAATTGACTCAGTGGCAATGGGTTTGGTTTTTTGTTGTTGTTGTTGTTTAATCTCTATGGGAGCAGATTGCCAGGTCTTTTCTGCCACAGAACCGCTGGTGGGTTTAAACCACTGACCTTCCGGTAGGCAGCTGAGCACTTAACCATTGCACCACCAGGACTCCTATGATAATCAGTCATCTCCTAAACCTCTGCTATGCCTTCAAATCAGTGTCATGAGTTATGATTTTTGTATGAGGCATTTTCTCTATTATGGGTTTCATTTAAGCCTTAGGATTTGTAGCAACACAAATGGTATGGCTCAGGATAGACACCATAGACCAATTTTCAGGCTTAATTTAGGAATTTCAGAGCTAACTTGAGAATCAAATATTGAAAACTTCAGAACTGAGCTGAGACTTTATATAGTTTATTTACATTGGATGTAATGTTTTTGCTATTCTTTTCCTCTATCTAACTGAAGCATAAGATCTCTGTTGCTTTTGGTCACACTATAGTGGAGAATCTTTTTATATTTATAGTAATATGAATATGTGTATGTTCATGTATTTATGAGAATATAAAATTTATGTTTATGAAGTTCTTCATTTCTGAGAAAAATCTTTTGTATAGATTACCTTACATAAATATACTGTGTTTTAGAAACGTGTACTTAAGACTTTTATCTTCATTTAGTGTTATTTCCAAGTCTCCAGGAAAGGGGCATGGACATCCACATGTTTGAAAAGCCCCACAGGTAATTCTTAGAAATACTGTGTGTCTGAGTTATCTAGTGGTGTTATAATAGAAATGACACAAGTGGCTAGCTTTAACAAACAGAAATTTATTTTCTCACAGTTTAGGAGGCTAGACTGATTTCAGGGTGCTGGTTCTAGGGGAAGGCTTTCTTTCTCTGTCACTCTGGAGGAAGATCCTCATCTCTTCTGAGCTTCTGCTCCTAGGCGATTTTCATGTGGCTTGACATCTCTCTCCCCCCATCTCTGCTTCTCTGGCTCACTTGTTTAATCTCTTTTATATCTCTTGTAAGAGATTGACTCAAGACGCACCCTACACTAATCCTCCCTCATTTACATAACAAAGACAACCCATTCCCAAATGGTATTATAACCACAAGCATAGAGGTTAGGATTTACAACACATATTGGGGGGGGGTATGCAGTTCAGTCCATAACACTGTGTTAGAAGAGGATCCAGAAACTCATGTCAAAGAGTCCACTGTTAAGAGCTCTTGTTAAGACTGTCTGTTAAAACATTTTAAAGAGTGCATTACCTCTCACTTTTTATTGAATTTTACAGTTTGAAATCCTTTGTTTTTCTTAATCAGTAACCAGGTCTTTTCTGCTTTTTTGATATGCTGCCTTTGTAATACAGCTATGAAGACTTAAGTCGGTAATGTTATTCTTTGCTCTTTCTGCTTTATGTCATTGTAAATAGCTAAGTGTCAGTGATAAATTAAAACATGCCTGTAATTTTATATACACGTTCTTTTTTGACATTGGCTGTTTTGCTTCATGATAAACACTCAGATTTCTTTTATTTTAGATATTACAAGAAGATACCATGCATTCTCCCTGGATGAGCAACACATTACATGTATTTTGTGCAATTAGTGGTACATCAAGTGACAGAGGTTATGGTTCCCCAAGATATGTTGAAGTGTGAAGATATGCAGATGTAAAATGACAACGAGACTGACCTTTCTCAGGAATATTCGGAGCTGTGCAAATGTTAAAATTTAAAGATTCAATATACATGGAGTGTTCTCTCCACACACCAAATTTTTCATGCTTTCAAACAGGGTGCTTACATATTTGTAAATATTTAAGCAACTTGAAAGTGCCTGGAAAATTGCACCACTGTGCTTTGTTTGTACTTTTTTAGGTAAATCTATATACTGAAAAGTAGAACTCAAAAACATTAATTCAGTTTGCTTAATTATTGCTTCAAATGATAATGGTACTATGTAAAATTGTATAATGGAACACAATAAAAGGTAAAACTTATTTGTAATTAGAAGCGAAGGGAATAATACTTTGAACTTAGCATTTTTATTAACAAGCTGAATTCATTCGCACTAATCCTTTGAAAAAAATATTGGTAACATTTCCACAAAACATGGATATTTCAAATCACAGTGATAATTTGAATCCTTGACTATTATTAGTCAAGACTGGACTAAAGCAATCAAAAGCATTATTTAACCAGGCAAATTTCAAAAGGAAAGGATATACATAGAAACACCAAGCTTACTGTTCCTTGAAGTTTTGCTGTGATAATACTAGATAATTGAGTTGGTCTGTCTTCCACATAGAGAGATGAGGGGTTCATATGTGGCATAGGTTTCCCTAGCAAGCAGTCTTCATTGCCAAAGCTTGATCATCTGAGGCGATGCTTAAAGCTAAACAAAACACTTCTGAGAATTTGTCAGTACATCCTATGCAGCTGCAAAGCTTTAGCAGCAGGGTGTGAGCTAGGCATTGTATAAGGCTGCTTTTCCTCAGTTACAGGGTTCACAAGCATTTTGATAGGACTTGATGATTGCAGTATGTCGTGGGACAGTATACATGACCACCCTAAACAAATTTAGCACCTACTAGCTAAAGATTATGTTTCTATCTCTGAAGAAACCTCAAATTATCAAAATAATTCAAGAGAAACCAAGGTGTGGGGAACTATTTTAGCTTGAATTATCCATCTAATTTTACATGGCTTTGTGTAAACTTTAAGTTCTGGACTTAGTTTCCTTATGTAGTTCAGCCTCTTTTGCTGATGAAAAAACAGAGGCGCTGAGATATAAAGGGATTGCATGGATCCGTAGCGTTTTGAATTCTTCTTTATGATCAAGTAAGTCTTACACATTATGCTCCTGGCTTGATCGTTTTTCTTTGCTTGTCTTTTTTAAGATTTCAGGGGGGGCAGAAATCAATTTTGTACCTTAACAGGGTATTCAGAAGTATTTCAGGGGCAGTTTGTAATTCTTTAATATCTGGGAGTAACCTATAAAGTTAATTTCACCTTTCAAATGATTATATTTGACATGTATATGAAAGGAAACATCTCCTAAAGTGAGTGCTGCCATCTGAGAGTGAGACATCTTGGGGAAACCCCAGCGCTCTTTCGTCAGTAAGGAGTACCTATCACTTCCCTCAGCGTAGTGTTACGTACTGTGGGTAATTTATTGGAAAGTACCATAAATGGCCTCTTCCCTGAAGGAGCTTGAAATCTTGTTGAAGAGACAAGATATACACACAATTAAATAATAACAGTTGATACAAGTCATGAAAAGTGTATGAGTATTACCAAATGAGTGACACTGTCTATAATTCTAATCACATTCACGGAAGGAGATATCACTGTGAATTGTGCTGTTCTGGGAGGGTTTCATGGAGAGAACCAAGCCTTGAGCCAGGCTGTCGAAGATGAGAGGGTATTCCGTGCAAGAAGAACATCATGAGCAAATGTGCAGAAAGAATTAGCAGAAATTCAGGGGATGGTGAGGAGACTGGTTTTGTTCATGGGAGTGGTAGATGATACATCTAGAAAAGAAAGTTTGGAGCAGATTTTGGAAGGCCTTGAATGCCAGGCTAATAGTGCTTGGACTTTGTTCAGTAAGCTTGAGGGAGCCGGTTAAGATTTTTAAACAGAGAGATTACTTGATTAAATGTTTAATCTCTTGTATTGCTGCCAGTTGTATTTGAGACAGAGAGAAGTGGAAATGGAAACCAATTAGACAGCTGTTGCAGTAATCCAGTTATGAGTCCATAAAATCCAGGAGTCAGGTGATATGAACAGGAATGGAGAAGAAAACACAATTACAAGAGACGTTATGCAGAAAGACTGGACAGGACTCATTGGTTGGCTAAGGAGAAAAAGGAAGAGTCAAAGATAATTTTGTTTCCTGTGGCCAATAAATTCTCCGTGGCATGGGACAATTTCACTAGATTTGTTTTGCCAACTTTCAGACTAAGGGCAGCAAGCTATGGAGAATACGGGGAGCTGGACTAAAGAGAGCCAGGTAAATGTGTTTCTAAACATTGCACGCATTCGGCATTACCATTTATATAGAGATTTCAGGACGTTGTTTGGCCTCCACAGATTAATTCACATCACAGGATACATTTCTGCTGTACAATACTGGTTGTTTTGTAATTAAACTTGAGTCCAATTTCCCTTGGAAACTATTGCCTTGATAGTCTTTGAACATATTGTGAAATGTGACTAAGTCACAATTGGTAGTGTTAGTTTATGCAGATTTTTTAAGTAACCAGTTGTCACCAATTCTGTGGCATCATGTCTACAGATGGGATTGTTATTGTGACCATCGTTATATGCTTCAGCTGCGTATAGAAATATTGTAAGCATCTTTTTAAAAATAAAATAGAAAGCAGCAGTGGTAACAATAGCTTTGGAACCTCTACTAATACATCATCACAGAACTAGCAATGACTCACTGGTTAATTAATAAACTAAATAGGTCATAATAAGAATCCAAGCTTTTTTTATTATAACCATTAGTTTTATCTAAGATGAAGAATGTGAGTAATGTATTAGAATAATAGGAATTTCCAGACTCTTCCAAATACTAATGATTAGGGATGTATTTCAGACTCTGATCCACAAAATGTTGGACTCCTTTCAGTTTCAATCTTGTTGGAACACAATACTGCTTCAACTATCAAAACACAAAGGGAAAGAAACAGAATAAAAGCTGATTGGTGATGGGGAGTGGGTTTGTGTAACAAGGCTATTCCTCCATCCTGGGACTGGCCAGTAATAGTACTTTGTTTATCTGGTTACAGTTACAATAAATGCTTTTTCTAGTGTCTGACCACACAATGGTCACTCTCTAAGAAAAGTGTCTGTATGCAACTCCTGATTGAAGTTGTGCCTCAGTTCTTCAAAGAGTTTGCCTCTGTGGAATGGCATTTTTAAACTTTTTCTCAAGTGCTTTTTTCCCCCTTCTTCTTTTCCTCTTCATGAGCTACAATTCACTCATTTAAAGTGGGCATTTCAGTGGTTTTTAATATATTCACAGAGTTGTATAACCATCACCACAATCAATTTTAGATCATTTCTATCATCCCCAAAAGAAACCCCATAAGCATTAAAAGTCGCTCCCCATTTCCCCCTCCCCCCAGGCCCTAGCAACCACTAATCTACTTTCTGGCCCTATGGGATTTGCCTATTCTGGGTATTTCATATAAATTAAATCATACAATGCGTGGCATTTCGTGACTGGCTTCTTTCCTTTAGTATAATGTTCTCAAACTTCAATCATGTAGCATGAATCAGTACTTCATTCTTTTTTATGAATGAATAATATCCCATTGTATGGGTATTCCACATTTTATCCATTCATCTATTGATGGGCATTTGAGTTATTTCCACTTTTGGGCCATATGAATAATGCTGCTATGAACTTTCATGTTCATTGTTTGAACATGTATTTTCAATTCTTCTGGGCATATACCTAGGAGTGGGATTACTGGGTCAAATGATAACTATATGGAGCCTTTTGAGGAACCTCCAGAGTGTTTCCTAAAGTGACTGGAATAATGTTACATTCCTACCAGTAATGTATGAGGGTTCCTATTTCTCCACATCTTCACCTGCTCTTGTTATTGTCTTTTTTATTATAGCCTTCAAAGTGAGTGTGAACTGATATGTTATTGTGCATTTACCTGATGTCTAATGATGTGCATTCTTTCATGTGCTTTTTGACAATTTTTATATCTTTTGGTTATACCCATTTTTAATTGGGTTATTTGTCTTTTTATTGTTCAGTTGTCATAGTTCTTTATGTATTCTAGATATGAGTCCCTTATTAGATATATGATTTACACATATTTTCTCCCATTCTGTGAGTTGTCTTTTCACTTTTGTGGGGATGTTCTTTGAAGCACAAGTTTTTAATTTTCATAAAGTCTAATTTGTCTGTTTTCTTTTATCGCTTATGCTTTGTTGTTGTATATAAAAAGCCTTTGCCTGATCTAAGGTCATGAAGATTTACACCTATGTTCCTTCTAAGAGTTTTATAGTTTTAACTTTTACTCTTAGGTCACTGATAGATTTTGAGTTAATTTTTACATATGGTGTGAAGTAGGGGTCCAGCTTCATTGTTTTGCATGTGAATATCCATTTGTCCCAGTACCATTTGTTGAAAGGATATTCTTTCCCCATTAAATGGTCTTGGCACCCTTGTTGAAAAGCAGTTGATCATAGATGTATGGGTTTATTTCTGAACTCTAAATTCTATTCCATTGATCTCTATGTCTGTCTTCATGCCAGTATCATACTGTCTTGATTACTGTAGCTTTGTAGTAAGTTTCGAAATTGGGACATGCAATCTTCCAACTTTGTTCTTCTTTTTCAAGATTGCTTTGGCTATTCTGGGTTCCTTGCATTTCCATGCGCATTTTAGGATCAGCTTGTCAACTTCCGCACACACACAAGAAAAAAGGCAATTGAGATTTTGGTAGAGATTGCATTGAATCTGTAGCTCAATTTGGAGAGTATTACTATCTTAAGATTAAGTCTTCCAATTCATGAGCACAGGCTTTCTCATTTATTTAGATCCTCTTTAATTTCTTTCCGCAGTGTTGTAGTTTTCAGTGTACAAATCTTGCATGTCTTTTGTCAAATTTATTCCTAAGTATTTTGTTCTTTTTGATGTTGTTATTGTTTTCTTCATTTCATTTTCAGATTGTTCATTGCTAGTTTACAGAAATAAGCCTATTTTTGTATATTGCTCTTGTATCCTACAACCTTGCTGAATTCATTTATTAGCTCTAAAAATTTTTGATGGATTCTTTTTAGAGTTTCCAATATATAAGACTCTGTCATCTGCAAATAGAGATCATTTCATTTCTTCCTTTCCAACCTGCATGCCTTTTTTTCTCTTTCTTACCTAGAACCTAGCTAAAACTTCCAGTACAATGTTGAATAGAAATGGTGAGAGCACCCATCCTTGTCTTGTTTATTATTTTTGGGGAAAAACTTTCAGTCTTTCA